CTTGTTGATTTTCGAATAGGTGTACATTAGACCAAATCATTGTAGTAGTTTTGATGTGTACTACAGATATCGATAGATATAAGTTGTATACATAATCAGTGGAAAGTGGAATGTCTGACAGTAGAAAGTTGAAAAGATGAGAGGTAAATGAACAAGAATAGAGGATGATTAGTAAGGAGGTGAAGGAACAATGAAGTGTGAGAAAATGGATGGAGATTTCGCAAGAAGACTATATACTCAATTGCTCTCAGATTTGAACAAGATATTCTGTAATGTTAAATGTCATTAAAATGCTTTCAGTGCATGATTGAATCAATCCACTCTGTTGACTGATTCAAAAAATATCCAATCAAAAATATAACAGCTGAGTATTTGGACTGTGTGCTAGAAACATTTTGCTGTTATTACACTTGTAGACTATGGTAATTAAAAAAACGAATGCAACGATATAATCTATTTGGTGGGAGCTATCCTGATCCAATTAGTTTTGCTGATCTCAATGTCCATCTCAATCGTCAACTGACCGAATTTTAATATTTATGGTACTTGCAATGACATGCGTTTCTGCTATTTCTTAGTTCACTAGCTGCAGATTGATTTACGCCATTAGATCAATTTTCACAAGAATAACAGTCAGAATATGTGATTGATGTAAGTGAGGTGAGTTCTAATTCTATTCATCCTCCTTCTCACCATCATCATACTCCCACTCCTCCTCATTCTACACAGCGAAAAAAACAACAACTACTATTACTATCACTAATAATAGTATTATTGTTATTTTATTTAGATCTAGTAGCTAACTAGTCTCATTATCATTTCTGTTCAATCTCTACTGTATTTTATTTAATGAAGATAACTTTCTGGATGATGATTGGTCACACACGATCTTTGTCAGTACGTTCTTTCGTTTTATACAACATTAAACAAGTTCAGTTTTCTTGATCTTGCTATAAATGGTCATTTGCATGGTGATAAACACTCAATTCATGTCCATGTCAATGCAATGTGAACATTGAATAGTGAAAACGTTCTATAGAATAACGTCTCAGTTAATATTCGTAAAGAGTTGCGTAAAAGTTGATTTTTGAACACAGGAACATTTAAACAACACTAACAGTCAGAATATGTGAAGAATGTAAGTGTGGTGAGTTCTAATTCTATTCATTCCCCTCCTTTTCATCATTATTTTACTCACACTCCTTCACATCCTACACAGCGACTACAAAAACATTAAGAAAGATAACAATAATTCAACGGTGATTTCTGCAATACACTGATATGGATTGTAATACCTGACACATATACATGGATGTTTCTCCTCGTTTCAACATTTGAAGCAAGAACATTCAGGTCAAGGTACTCATCTTTTCCTCATGTGAACATTGTGAAATTAATTCAAGTGAAGTACATCTCACGACCTCATTACTATCATTATTACTATGATTTTATTATGTTGTACATCGTGCACACTTTATGTGAAGTATTCATGAAACAGTTTTTCATACAGAAATATAATACCTGATATATGAAGCTGTACGGATTTTGTGAAAGTGTTGAGTGAATCATCTCTACAAACATACAGTGATCCACATGTTGATAAATTCAAAGTGGCGTGATAGTTTTGTTGACATGTTCATTGTTTGCTATTACAAAAAGTTACTCATTGATTCATTCGTTCATTCAAATATAAGTTGAAGCCGTATGGCGATAACGGACGTCCAGGTTGAACTCATCATTCCACAATTGACTCTATTGTATAAGCCATGCAAACGATTATCGGTTAAAGTATATAATTACACTTCTCCGAGACTCTATTTAAAGAGTAATTCCACGACTCCTATGATTCAGTTCATCTACTTTGTTAGAATAAAATAGATGTATTCATAATACACGTACGTGTACTTAATCGACCATAATATAATTGCGTTAACATCCGTCAGTGTAAAAATGAACAGAAAAACGCGTGTATTTGTAGTTATCGGTAGAAACGGAAAGGTCTTCAAAATAATAACTGCAATTTCCTTGTCTCTGAATAAATCGCTGACTATCTGAAAAGTGCAGCAGCTAATTGCATGAGGCACTGACATACGAAGCCACAAGTAATGGGCTGCAGATTCAGTATGAACATAAACATTAGGATACAGGAACATCTACAAGATGAAATTCAGATAGCACGAAATTCAGGTTGTAGATTTCACAGTTGATCAAACATCTCTATTTATCTGATGAAAAGTAATATCGAGGCATCACACTCATGATGCACACACGGCAACAGAATCTGACTAAATACACCACTTAATATCGACAACAGGATAGTCGAATAAAAATATATAATTGTTCAAGGTACTTGGTATATATAATTTTGCCTGTGGCTCCTCTGGTGGCTACTGCCGGTTCCTAGCCCGGATAAAGCAAGAGGGTTGGGCATGGTGTTATCGACTTCATCCCGTAGAAAACCAACTAGCCTTGAAAACGCTAACCAGAAAAAATATTCAAACAATATAAACTCTGCTGTAAAAGTTGAAGGAATAATTATCAGCGCTCATGATGAAAGCTGATTGCCTTCGGCATTCATGAGGCCGATGCACATTCTCAAGACCAGAGCAACAATTTTTATAGGAACATGGAATGTCCGAACAATGTGGGAGACTGGAAGAGTCTCGCAACATCCTGTAGAAATTTACAAATACAACCTGTGGGTGCTTTGAAACAGAGAAACACATTGCACGCAGGCTGCAGTCAACCGTTTAGAAGTGATCATTAAAGTACCCAATCATTGCGATCAGAAGTTTATATGTAAAGGTTTTAATGGACAACACTGGATACGAAGACGTCATCGGACGACATGGACTGACTGAGAAAAAGTAAAAAAGTGGTGAGAGATTTGCTAACCCATGAGCTTACAGTAGAATGATGATAGGCGGCACTATTTTTCCACACAAACGCGTTCACAAAATCCACATGGACTTCAGGAGAAGACGACCAAGGTAGCATCCACTTCAGCAGCAGTAGGCCTCAATATACACAAAGGGAAATACAAGACTCGCAGATACAATACAACATGCAACAATTACACTTGACGGAGAAGATTTGGAGGATGTGGGAAATTCGAAACCATCCACACAATTCTGTCAATGTGGGTTAAAGTGTCAGTCAGACATATGTGATTTTTACATACATCCAGACTAAACCTCATCACACTATGAAAAGAAAGAGAATAGTTAAACCAGTTCAAACCAAACGTGACTATGAGTGTAACAGATTATAACAAATAGATTGAGAACAAATAGAGTACAGTAATTTTTATGAAATGAGTTAGTGGATCGAGTGAAAGCTTATGAAAATAGGAATATAAATATATATTTCGTCAAGCTTCTAAGTGATTATAACTCCGCCTGTAGCTTCTGTGGGGCCTATTGAAGTGTATTATATAAATAATATCTGACTGTCACCACTGACTTATTCTTCTACTTCTTCTTTCGGGCATAACACTATCAATATTCATCCACTTAATCTTTCATTCATATATTGAAAAGAAATAATCTGTGCATACTGATACTGAATACCTAACACAATATAATGATTGATTAACAAGGCACACATATGAAATCTACCCTCTCATTAATACGTAAGGAGAAATTATGATTGGATAGTAGAAAGTATATAAACGTTTTGACAAGAAGACAGGATAGACTATAAAGTGCGACCAACAAAATACAGAAAATTCGGTTGGGTAGTTAACCGGTTATTTTCAATAAATACAAATTATTTGGAAGAATTCTGGTTTCTTTTTTGATAAGATTGACTCTGTCTGACTGTATTTTTATCATTGACAACCTATTATGTACACGTTGTCACACGTTACATTGAATATTGCAATGACCTAATGTTGCGAAGTATTTTAGTCCTCTTATTTTTGTTCTTTCGCATCAGATTATTATTATTATTATTATAAAGGTATTCCGTTCTTGTTGTTCACTTTATCAGCCCACTTTATTCTATGGAATAATTCATCAGCAATGCTTACGTAAACACAAATCGGTGAACTGTCATATGTTTGACCATATGATGACTGAACTATGTATGAGAACTATCACTTATTAAGCTTGTTTATGCGATTTCCACAACTTGTGAATTTTTCATTAACTGAAGATTGTTTTTTCTTTTAGAGTTCATTTAGAAAATCACGTTTTGACAAGAAGACAGGATAGACTATAAAGTGCGACCAACAAAATACAGAAAATTCGGTTGGGTAGTTAACCGGTTATTTTCAATAAATACAAATTATTTGGAAGAATTCTGGTTTCTTTTTTGATAAGATAGCTCCCGATGCAGTATTTTGACTTGTGATGATTGTGGCAAAAATGTGACAAATACAAGTTGAATGAAACAAAGTGTTATGTATTCACTGGAAAACGGAAGAAAATTAGTTGGTCAAATATGACTTTACACCGAAACGTGGTTAATCCAGTACATACACATACATGAAACTCTCGTGAGAAATGGTAACTAGTTTATTTGTAGATGACACATTCCGTAAAGTTGTCCATACAATGATAAAATGATTGCCTCGTTTCAAGGAGAACTACACAATGCATATCGTTCGATTTCGTGAGTGAAACATATCCCAGCCTATTGTGGAAATATTAAGTTCAAGCAAACACTTGGGTGGTAAAAGCGGTCCACCTATAGAATATTCAAGAACAAAGGGAATTGGATCGAACTATCATTTCCAATGGTTCCTTCATCAAGCTCAAGAGTTAGAAATTCTGAACTAATATTATTGTTGTGTTGAAGTAGCAGTAGTAGTGGTGTTGTGAATGAGAACACGGGTGAGGACAACCAACTATGTATTTAGCGCAAATTACAACGTTACTTGGTAAAATACAAAAACCATGCTATGATACACTATTTGCAAAATGTTCTTCAATTGCCTCAGACTTCATTGTTCCTGGATTTCCACACAAATTGCTTTTTATTTCTGTTCTTCTCTTCTTGATCTTCTCAATCTTCTGCTGTCAGATATTCTATTCCTTACTCACCATATATACTACTTATATCGATATCAGTAGCTCACACCACACTCGTCCCCCCTTTTAATAAGCTGTTCTCGCAATCTTTCTGATCGCCGTACCATTGTCTCCTTTGGTGCTGTTCGTGACTCGTGCTCATGATGTTCCTGAAACCATCTCTGTAGTTGACTGGCATTTACACGCTTCTGCTTGTCTTCTCTCCGGATCGTGTAAACTGAGCCGCGTCTCTCCGTGATAATGTACGGTCCCTCCCATTTCGGGGTCAGCTTTCCTGACCCTGGTCCCCCTTCAGTGTTAGCTCTCCGTTCTCTACACTTTACCAGGTCCCCCACTCTAAAAGGCTTCCATGCTCTTCTCTGCTGTTCCACCTTCTTGGTGTCTGATATTTGTTTCTTTTTCACGTTCTTTATTGCCTCCGTCCTCTCTTTCCTTAATCTTGTTGCCGTCCACTTCTGCTGCTGTGGCCACGTCATATTATGCATCGGAAGTCGTGGCTGTCTACCATACATAAGTAGGAAAGGTGATTTTTTAGTAGTTCCTTGGATGGAGGCACGATGCGCCAGCAAAATTAGTGGTAACTCTTTCTCCCAATTCCCTCCTTTAGATGCTAACCATTCCTTTAATGTCCGGTTGTTTCTTTCCGTAAGCCCATTCGTCTGAGGGTGATACGGTGTAGTTCGTATCCTCTTGATACCGAACTGCTTCAAACGGGCCTTAAACTCGTCACTTTCAAAACAGGGACCCTGGTCGGTTAGTATCATCTTCGGTACTCCATGACCTGCTACAATGTGCCGGATTATTACTTCGGTCACTGTTTTCGCCCGCTGGTCGGCAATCGGTACAGCGTCGACCCATCGTGTAGCATGTTCCGTCATAACTAGTAAGTATCGGTTGCCGCTATCCGTCTGTGGAAATGGTCCCATCACATCTACCGACCATAGATCACCAACTGCGGTTACTGGGACCGACTGCATTGGCGGTTGCATGTATCTATCGCTTTTCATTAATTGGCACTGCTGGCACGTCAACACATATTGGGCCACATCGTCTCTCATGCCTGGCCAGTATGCACTTTGCCGTAGTAAATCTGTCGTTCTTGCGATACCAGTGTGCGCTACCTGATGGCATTCGTGTATCATCTTACGCCGCCAGTCTTTCGGGATCACAGCCACCCAATTTTTGTCATCATCCTGCCAGACCAGAGCTCCATATGTGTTCACTTTCAGTCTTTCCTTTTGCCGAAGCAACATTATTGCCTTCTTGTCCATTGCTCGTTTGTCAAAATCTGCCCCCTCTCTTATCACTCTGATTACCTCTCGCAGTTTAGGATCAGATTTCTGTTGCCGGACGAGTTCTAGTGGGTCTCCCTCTATACTGTTCACTGCGTATGCTGTCAATGGAAGCTCGGCTTCCATGTCTGTTCTTGACAGATAGTCCGCCATCACATTTTCCTTCCCTGGAACATGCCCGATACTGAAGTCATACTCCTGCAGACGTATCATCCATCGCGCCAACTTCCCACGTGGGTCTCGTGCTGTTTGTAGCCACTGCAGAGGTTTATGGTCAGTCTCGATGTGAAATCGTTTACCTAACAGATATGGTCTCCACTTGTCTACTGCCCACACAATCGCTAAACACTCCTTTTCGATCGTTGAATACTTCTGTTCGGCAGGCGTGAGAATGCGACTTGCGTATTCCACTACTCTATCAGACTGACTTAAAACGGCACCTATACCATGGTCACTTGCGTCTGTTGTCACTGTAAACGGTTTCTCCAGTTCGGGCAGTCTGAGCGTCATCTGGCGGTCGTCCAGCATGTTTTTGATTTGATTAAACGTTTGTTGGGCGGTTTCAGTCCACGAAAATTTAGTGTTACTCAACAACTTATAAAGGGGTGCTGCTATTTCGTTGAAATTCTTGATGAACCGACTGTAGAACGCCGCCCTTCCCAGGAACTGTCTCAATTTCCTTTTCGAATTCGGTACTGCAACGTTCTTTATAGTCAGAATTTTCTCCGGCAGCGGTTTTATTTCTCCATTTCCCACTTTATGCCCCAACAACGTGATGCTACTTTTCGCCATCTGTGACTTGTCCTTATTAATTCGAAGTCCGAATTCTTCAATTCGCTTTAGGACCGCTTCCACATGCTTGACATGATCTGTTTCTGTCTGGCTGTATACGACTACATCGTCGCCATACACTTCGACGTTATCCAGATCCCTGAGCAGTAGCGACATTAATCTTCTGAACGTAAAAGGTGCGCCCGCCAATCCGAACGGCATTCGTCTAAATTGATATTGTTTATCACGTATGGTAAATGCTGTCTTGCTTCGATCGCTCTCTTTTATAGGCAGCTGCCAATAACCTGACCGCAAATCCAACACTGTAAACACCGTGGCATTCTGCAGCCGATCTAATGTTTCCACTACTGTTGGCATTGCACACGGCTTTAGTTCTGTTATATTATTCAGTTCTCTAAAATCAACACAAAATCTATATTTCCCATTCGGTTTCTTTACCAAGAGTACCGGTGAGTTATACGGGCTGTCCGCCTCCTCAATTATTCCTTCTTTCAGCATCTCTTGGACCTGTCGATTTACTTCAGCCTCTAAGTGCACAGGGACACGACGTGTTGTGAATATACTTCCTCCATTGTTCTTTATCGGGATTTCGTGCTTTACTTTGTCGCAAAATCCGTACGGTTCTCCTTCTTCAGTAAACAGTTTCGCATACTTTTTGCACAACTCGGTTATGTTTGGTTTCTTCGTCACAACGGCTGTTGCCACTCTAACCTCAGCCACCTCACTACTTTCATGTATTGAGAATGAACCGTACTTCGTGACCACCTTACCGCTTCTTAGGTCAACTATGGCTTTTACTTCTCTTAGGAAATCTGCTCCTAATATTGGTCTCGACAGGTTTGCGGTTACCACGAACGGAAAACTTATCTCCGAACCATCCACTTTTACGATACTGTTAGACACGCCCAATACCTCTAACATGTGCCCTCCTATAGTGTGAACTGCGACTTTACACGGCTTAAAACTTTTACATTGCTCTTTACCTATTAACGAAACTGCTGCCCCTGTATCGATTAGGCACACTAAATCTAGTTCATTTACGTTCACTCTTGCATAGACTGCCCCTCTATCTACTAATGCAACAACCCCCAGATCCCTAGAGTAAGAAGGAAACACGTAACGTCTAAAATATCTCCGTTTTCGTCGTGTTGGACAGTTTATCTTCCAGTGTCCTGTCCCTCCACATGCGAAACACTTATCATTCCTTTTTCGAATCACTCGTAATGCCGCAATCTCGTGCTGCAGTTCTTCAATCTTCTTCTCAATGCTGCTTATCTCCTGACTTCCGCACGCGACCGGAGCTACTGTTTGTGTCATCAACTGTCGCGTCACCTTTGCAAGCTCACTGATATCCATAGGTTGCGCGGCGTGTACCAGTCTCAGCTGCTGGGAAACGGCAACAGGCACGCTCTCGATAAACTGAGACGCCAACAACTGTGCCTCCGACTCCTCATCCAGATTTGGCAGCGCGCGACGCAGCAATTTGGTAAGCTCCACGGCCAGCACCAGCGGATCACCATCGATCGGCAACTTCGCCACTCGGAACTTCTGCAGTGCTTCCTCTCTGTCCACTGGGCTATCGAACTCCACGGTCAACCGCTCCGTGACTGCCTCCCATGTCGTCTTACCGCCCGCACCGTCCAGGCTGTCATATACAGCTTTCGCTCTGCCTCTCAGCAGCGTCCCCAACACCACCGTCTTCGCCTTCGGCTCCTTCACCCCCACCAGCTCCGCCACAGCTTCGAACTCCTTCAGGAAGCTCAGCACATCCCCGCCCTCAAATTCCTTTGGCCATGGAATCTTCATCCCTGGAGGCAGCGACACCAAATGTAGTGAACAGAACACGACTGGTTGGGGACAATCGAATGTATTTAAGCAAAGATTACAGACTATCTCAGTAAATTCTGATTACCAAAGAATGAACAGTCAATTTGCAAATTAACAACCAATTGTTTCAATCTTCACTGTTTCTTCAATAATTCCATCGTTCATGCATTTTCCAAACGATTGCGCTTCATTTCAGTTCTTTCCTCATCGGTCTTCTGCGAAAATACATTCTATGCCTGACCCACACCATATACTACTTATATGGATATAAGTAGATCACACCACACTCGTCCCCCCTTTAAAGCATTCGTTCATGCGGTGGTTCTGCTCGCCGTGCCACTATCTTCTTCCACTGCAGTCTGTGCCAAACTCTCCGTCAGAATGTCGAGTCTGCGGCGCGCTGAACTCCATAGCTCCGTCGACCTGCCGGGGCACCAACATCCGCATCCACCCGGCACCTGGGACGTTCAACACCCGTACTCCACCGGCCTGCTGAGCCATCTACATCCGATGTCCGCCCAGCAGCCGCACGTCCCACTGCTCCTCTCCGTCGACAGCACCTGCTACAGCCAACGCCTCCCGCCAGAACACTCCACTCGACTCCAACTCTCCCCACCAGACTGCCCCAACTAGCACCTCCACTCCAGACCCGCAGCGGCGTCCACAGAACAGCACCCTTCCTCCTCCTGGTTGGCAGCGACACCAAATGTTGTGAATGAGAACACGGGTGAGGACAACCAACTATGTATTTAGCGCAAATTACAACGTTACTTGGTAAAATACAAAAACCATGCTATGATACACTATTTGCAAAATGTTCTTCAATTGCCTCAGACTTCATTGTTCCTGGATTTCCACACAAATTGCTTTTTATTTCTGTTCTTCTCTTCTTGATCTTCTCAATCTTCTGCTGTCAGATATTCTATTCCTTACTCACCATATATACTACTTATATCGATATCAGTAGCTCACACCACAGTGGTTGTAGACGAAATACTGAAGTTGAACTAATCCATGTTACAAACGCGAAGTGGCAAATTTCAAGTTTATTGTTCCATGAATACTACAAAGTGCTAACAAGATAAGTGAATAATGTCATTGATAATGCGAAGATTACTCATCAACAGTGAGAAAAGTTGTATACCTCAAGGTGATCAGTTGTAACCAATAAGTTCAAATGTTATATCAACAAAATATTCACTACCAAATAAGCATTATTGTGTTGTAGTGTAGTGGATGCTAATGACGACTGGAATATTTGTAATAAGTATGTGGTGGAATGTGACATCGTCATTGTAGCAATTTTCAAACCGAATGAAGAGTAATGAATATGATAGAAAGTCATTAAAACACCGATCTGTGTTCAACTGATCCTATCCAGTTGCTTTCTTCTGAATTTATTAGCACAATGTTGACTAATGTAAGATGTAAAAACATAATTTATCAAAATCTAACTTGAACAAATATACTCAAAGATATTTGAAAGTGATTAAGCTAGAGAAATAATGGGACTAACAAGGACTTAATAATAACCTTTCAGCTTTTGTAAACATTTTCATTTTGAAAATGAGAGGAACCCATGTATGTGGAATAACAAATTCACTTGAATTGAATCAACTGTCTGATGTTGATTCACTTATCATTTTACAACGTGGATAATTTATACCACTGACTGAGTCACTGATAATGAAATAAAATCATATTCTAGGATGATATTTTAGTTTGGTTGAGAGATTTCATCGACTGGTTTTTATCTATCTATAGATAACATATATACACACATATACACATAGACATGGTAATTGAGTTAGTTGATAAGTAGTTATATGACAAAATTCCAAACAATATTATTATTACTATTTACAATATTTGAAAACACCGATATCAAATTCCATACTCAGGATTCCCTTATCACAGTTACAAGATTCATTATTGTGATGCAAATGTTCAGTTGACGTCTAACAATACAACTACTCACCTCTTATTTAGATAGGTATCACAGAATTCAATTCTCTTCATGAAGCACTACGTCAATAAATAACACGTAACAGCGTATGATTAAATATGAAAAATATGAATTGGATTTAGGAGTGTTTGCATATGTTTCGTCTTCGTGAAATGTCACTTGTTTAGCAGCATATGGATTGTGTAGTTTGTGAGGGAATGTATCAAAAGCGTGTGTCATATATTCAAACCAGTCAAAAGGAAACATTTTGATAAGTATTAAAAATCTACTTAAATCATCAATCTAAATAAAATCCAGTCATAGAGAGTAGTTGTTCAAGTAACACGGGAGTTTGTTTGGAAGTAGTCGACAGGAAACTCTGGACGTCTTTGATAGTTATAAACTTTGTTTTTTGCAACTGAGTGAACCAGAAGTCTTGGCATTAACTGACTATTGCAGCTATTAATAAACTTTGGTGGATAACCGTTGGATATTGATGTGTCAGTCAGCAACTTTTAATAATAATAATAATAATAATAATAATAATAATATATTCTGAAAATAATATTTACAGAATTCACACCAGTTTACAGGCATGATCAGATTGTTATAAAAATCAACATTTAATGTAGAGAACAAACATGAATTATAAGAAGGTTTTATGTTTGCTAGTTTAGTAATTGATAAACAGTTTAAATATGGCATAAGTCACGGCAAGCCAATGCAACACCAGGGAACTTGTCATTTTATTTTTTTATTAAGTGAATAGCCTGATGATTGACCAACATTATTCTGTAAGGTTATTACCAGTGCCAGAGCGAGTTATTATTAATTATCTACAACTAGAGAAAGTAAGATTAAAGCAAACAGCACGGAACAACAAAACAATGATAGCAAGTAAGAGGTTAAACATTTAAAGTTCCTATAATCTCCCTTGTGGAGTAAGATACACTTGCAGGCGCTAGAGCATTTAATGCATTTTCAGAGGAGCAAAAAGCATTAATTGACCGAACAAACAATGGGAGAGAGTCTAACATACGGATAGTTTGGGGTAAATTATTCCAGAGTCTAGAAAACTTACAGGTAAAGTAATTCATATAGAGAGAAGACCTAGAATATGTTTGTTTCGCTAAAGACAAGGAGTTACGAATGTCGTAATGTGAAGCCTTAGCATATTGAATCGCCTGACTGGATGTGAAGGAGAGTTTGTTAAGTATTTTGAAAAAGAAGATAAGGTTAAGTTTGAGTCTCCTCATCCATAAAGGGTCAAGCCCTAGTTTACTACACCTCGAATTATATGTCAAGACACTATCAGGTCCAAGAGTACGAGATGTAAATCGTCTCTGTACTGATTCCAGTCTTAACTTATCCGTTATTCGCATGCTACTAAGGAGAAACGCGCAGTATTCGAGGAGTGGTCGAACACAGACTTTGTACATTATTATACGAGATTCGCTGTTATGAAGGTTTCGAGTTATGAAACCTATAAGGCGTTGAGACTTGGACGTTTGTTTCATTACCTGTTCAGTAAACGACAAGTCATCGGAGTATCTCAGTCCAAGATCTACTACTGTATGTAACCTAGATAACATTTCCCCATTTATGGTAAGATTAAGGTTGAGTGATGTATCACCGAAGCATAGCCAACCACATTTAGCTGTATTGAGCTCCAGCTGCCATTTTGAGCACCACTGTGCTACCTTGTTAAGCTCCATGCTGATGCAATTTCGAATATTGCTCAGCTCATGTGGAGAAAATGAGTACACCACCTTAAGATCGTCTGCAAACAAAAGGGACTTACCCACACTAAAACACTCACAAATATCATTAATGAAAACTAAAAAGAGCAAAGGACCTAAGACACTACCCTGAATTACCCCACTTCTAACAGGGACTGCGTTCGACAATGAAGAGTTGATTTTAACTATTTGATGTCGATCGCTGAGGAAGGAATCAAACCAGGCTAGTAACGGGTTTTCGACCCCATAAGATGCGAGTTTACCTATGAGAAGTTGGTGGTTGACCATGTCGAAGGCCTTAGAAATGTCCAGGTATAGCACTAATACTAGATATCCTTGGCTACGAAGCGAATAGACTAAATTAAAGAAGTCAAAATGACATGTCATACAAGATCGATTTTTAAGAAATCCATGTTGCGAATCACCAATAAATTGTTCAGTCAATAAATAGTTGGATAGTTCGTCACTAATAATTTTTTCCATAATCCTAGAGATAACTGGAGTAATATTTATTGGCCGATAGTTTTTCATGTCAGTCTTATCTCCGGATTTGTAACGTGGTATGATGTACGCTGTTTTCCAACGGTCAGGATAACAGCCTGATTCCATAGAGAGGGTAAACAGTTTAAGGAGAAGAAGTTGGATATCTCGACCACCATATTTGTAGAGAAATGATGAAATCCCGTCTGCACCGTGACCTTTCAAAACCTTGAGCTTATTTATAACCTTACTAATTTTCAGACATGTGAAGGAGAGAGATTTAATGGAGTTACCAGTCAAGCATATAACTCTAGAAACAGAGCCATTTATGGATTCTTTGTCATTTGCAAAATTACCACTGAAAAGGTCTGCTATAGTTTTTGGGTCATATATAAAACTATTATTATGCAGGATGCATGGTATATCAACATTTTGAGTTGATTTAACACGTTTATTGTAAAGGTGGATTAGGTTTTGCACTTTTGAGCTAGTACGTAGTGCTAATAGCTCTTCATTGATGGCTTTTAACCTATGTTTCTCTTTAATTTGGTTAAAAATTATTGTTATTTGTGTGAATGCCGTGAAGTCGTTAGATTTAAAATAAAGTTTCTTTAGGCGTCTTAGTTTATTACGATATTTAGCTGGTATATATAATACGTAATGTTTATTATTCCTGTAAGTCTTAATTGGTGCACAGGAGTCTAAACAAGACTTAACAATCAAATAGAATATGTTTATGGCATCTGTCAGACTATTACATGAGAAGAATTCATCCCAGTCTGAGAGTTTGATCAGTGAGCACAAGAGGTCCCAGTCTGTATGCTTATAGTCTCTATAATTGCAGGTTCTTTGAATTGGTCGGTTGTAGGAGGGACAGATGGGGAGAGCACAAGTTACTATCCTATGATCACTGCTTTCAAACTCGTTGTATACTTGTATAGATAGGGGAATGATATCTCTACTAAATATTAGATCAAGTGTATTATCACCCCTTGTTGGGGTACGAACCCACTGTGACCAGCAGTACAGATTAAGGATTGATAAAAATTCATCATTGCTAGACTGACAACTACCGGTACTCCAGTTAATCCCAGGATAATTGAAATCACCAGTGATAATCTTAGCGCTGAAGTTTAGAGTAGATGCGTGTATAAATGCATTGATAATACAATCATTCAAATTATCAGTACTATCAGGAGCTCTATATATACAACCTAGGAGTAGACTATGGTTTAGGGTATTGATTGATATCCAGATCGATTCTGGTAAACTATTCAAGATACTAAT